GAAATATGAATCTTTTTGATAGTATTTTTCCACCAGAAGATAGATAATCGAGCAATATAATTGATGTTTCTTTTGGCAAAAATTATAAAATTTATCGAAATTCCTGAAAAGTTTAAAATTTCATATATTAATAAAATTGTTACGATATTTTGATCGTTATTGTAAATAATATTGATTGATAATTTGAATAGAAACTGGCATCGCATAATTACAAAAATTAATTATTATTTTATAATGCTTGTTTTGTCTATTAATTATTTATTCGTTAAAATGTCATACAAATATTTGAATTTAACGTGGCGGGATACGATAATATTTACAATTACTCGTAAGGATAAAAATAGGGATAAAAAAACATTATTAGATATGCCGTTAATAATATTATAGTCGTTAAATTTCTAAATTAGGTGATAGCCGTCTCATGAAAAAAATTAAACTCGAGTTAACACTCGAATGCACAGTATTCGAATGCTAACTCGAGTCAGATACTCGAATCCTATACTCGAATTCTGACTCGAATTCTGACTCGAGTACTCTTCGAGTCAAAAGTATTCTTGACTCGAGTAATTTTTTTTTGACTCGAGTCCAATGACTAACTTGGTCTAATTTGTCCACTTTTTGTTAACTTTGTTAATCATTTTGATCACATGACTAATTAAGGCGCAGTCACAGATCACGGCTTCAAACGTCAGTTCTATCAATAATTTTATATTACCTTTATCCATTTCCAAACAAATCTTGTTTAACATTTCGTTCATTTCCACTGCAATCTAATATTTCATTTGAAAACACGTTAGGAAAATCATTCCAAGGTCAGTTTTACGAAATTAGTAAAATATATTTTCCATCTTTATACAATATAGTCATGGTGAAGAAAAAATAATAAAATAATATTTAATGTGAAATAGTTTCAACGATACTTTCAATTTTTTTTTAGTTTTACGCATAATCGTTCATAATCCTTCAATCCTTTCTACTTTTCCTTTTGGTAATTTAACAGGACCTAAAAAGACATCCATTGTTCCATAGATAGTGTTTGTATCTACTTTTTTGTTTTCTTTGGCTATCATTATTAATATTACGATTAGAAATTATATTTAAATATTCACGAATTATTGAAGGTTCTGCCTGAATGCAATGGTTTGCCCTAAATTTTCTTCATTATTTCTGGTATACCTCTTGTTCAATATTTTGTACAAGCATTAACGTGTTGCTTCATTACGCCCAGACTTGCACTTAAAAAATGTATCCAAACATTTTTTCCCGATCGTCCAATTTTTCGATTTATATCTTCGTTGCTACTCATTATTATTATATGGGTTGCGTTGGGTAAAATAAAAAGGAAAAAAAAAAAATTTTTTTTATATTCTACGATTTTTATATTAAAACCCGTCCCATTTTATTAAGTTGTTATCGAAATCGTCGAAACTTTCGAGACCCATTGAAACCCATTGAAAATATCGAACCCATCAAAACCTATCGAAATTTTCGAAATAATTTCTGAAAAGTTTCGACATTTGCCAAAATGGGTTTAGGGTTTTGACCCGCAACTATATTCATAACAGCGATAATAGAGGTAAATGTATTAACGTTAATAGCTAACTTATCGGAATCCTTTCGATTTTTTGTGTAATACAGATTTTACCCATCAGATAAAATATGCGATCATATGAGGCGCAGCAACTGCAAGTCATTGAAATATAACCATTATGATTGAAATTTTGCAACAATGACAATTTGGGCCTTAGTAAGGATATTTAACAAAAGTGAATCACTTGCTTGACATTCGTCACTTACGTTACCTTGATTTTGTCACCACCACTTGTCATCCGTGATACCGTGAAATGAAACGCATGCAGGCGAATCTATATAAATGTTAACCAAATAAGGGATGGATGATTATCCCCTTTTTCATTTATTTTTAATTTTTTTTTCTTATAAAAAAAAAAAAAAGGAAATTTTTGATTTAATAAACTATGACTTATAAAGGATACATGATCAATTTATACTTAATTATTTTAAGTTATTTATTCGTTGTAATTGAGTCATTTATTCCTTTAGGGCGTATGGCTCATTCTTCTGTCTTAGTTGAAAAAAAGCTTTATTTTTTTGGCGGAATGAAAGATGATAGTACTTGTTTAAATGAGGTATTCTACCTTGATTTATCTCAATCATTTAATTCAACATTTCCGCCATGGATTGACCTCACAAAAGATGCCGGAATACCATTTCATAGTTGTTGGGCAACTGTTTCACTAAGTGATAAGGAGCAAACTATTTATTTATTTGGCGGATTTATGGTTGACGCTGCGAATCAAGACCATTTTGTATCAATTGTTCATTCATTTGATTTAAAATCTATAAGGTGGAATGTACCTAATATCAAAGGAACTCCGCCCGTAAGACGTAGATCTTCAAAGGGTGTTATTGATGACACCGGAAATATCTATTTTTACGGTGGACTTAATTTAACCCCACCAATAAAGCCTCTTGATGATATGGTTGTTTTAAATACTATCGAGTCATCATGGTCAATTAATGTTCCAGTTAATTCACCTGATGCTCGAACTGGTCATACTGCAACATTATTATCGAATGGAGCTATTGTTTATATTGGTGGTCGTATATTAATTGAAGGTAAATCTCAATTAGTTGACATTAGGCAACTTTATCTTTATGATACGAAATTCTCAACTTGGTCAGAAAAAGTAGGTATTCCTGTCGATGATTGCAATACTTAATAAATAAATTAATTAATTTGCTGTAAATTATCTTCTTTTAGATAGCGAAAACTTCAAACATAATTGAAAATCGTAGTGGACATACGGCTGTGTTAGGTATTAGTTATAGTGTTGTCAGTTGGTTATTTCATTTAAAATCAATTTATATAAATTTTTTCAATATTAAAATAGCTTCAGCTGATAAAATAATTATTTATGGAGGTTCTGATGTCACAAATAACGATGCTCAAGTTTTGCCAGATACAATTGTTTTAAACATGGAAACAGAAACAGATCAATTTGAATTTACTGTACCACCAGTTTCATATAATGTCGTTCAAGTTCCATCACTTACAATTCATACAGCTAATCTGGTTGAAAATTTTATGATCGTAGCATTTGGTAAGCAAACTTTTACAATAACCTATAGAAAATGATCTCTTAAAAATTAATTTATTATTTCAAATAATTATAATGATAGGAAATATTACGCAACAAAATTCTAGTCCATTCTATCAGACTAATCGTAATATTTATATAATGGACACTAGAAATTATACGTGGGTTGATTATTTTGAATTGTCAACAAATACAACAACGCAACCATCTCCAACGGCTCCCGTAATTATTGTTACAAACTCTGAGAGTAAATCGGTTACAATTAAAAAGATAATCGCAGCAATTGGAGGAATTGTTGGCGCCACTATAATAATAGTTTGTGGACTGTTAATTTATAAATGGAATGAACATAAGAAAAACCTATCTACTTTTCGAACTGCTAAGCATACAGATAAAGAACATAATTTATCCGAAGTAGTGATGTAGCGTCGCCCGACGAGCAAAGGTGAATGCTCAAAAACATTATCAAAATGTATAAAATGCGTTCAATCCTACGCCAAAATATTGCGGAACTGGCTATTCTAAAACATATAAAATTCTGAAATAAAAATCCACATAGCTTTATTGGTTTTTCATATTTTGCATATTCCCTTTAATAAAACTAGTATAAATGCATATATCCCATTTTTTCCTGTCCGGGATACCTATAATAAATCGTTACACGAATTTCACAATTTATTGGACATCAAAAAATTAAGATTTCAATTTTATGCTTTTTCATATTGATGTGCTTGGTAGTCAAGTTTAGATAATGATTATTCTGATATTTGCCAAATTTTTTCCATGATTATCGAGCACTATTTTTTTTATTATTTATGAGACGTTATTTTTCGATACATAGAATTTACATAAATTTCATTCTGTCTGTCTGTGCGACTTTACTTTGTTTCGCATGTGCTCCGAAATATCAAGCCATAAATTTTTTTTTATTTCATTAAGTAAATTTCTTATACAAAGAACCAGATATAATATTCAGTCAAAATAATTAAACGATATCAAAAAATGGAGAAAACCCTTTTAGAATCGTTAAATAATTTTATTGACAAAAAAATTTCAAAAAAAAAACCTTTCAGATAATATCATTATCCCTCGAGTAAAGGATGAAGACATAGTTTATCATTTGGCATTTTTATCAATTTCATTTAAGTCAATTTTTCAAGGATAATTGACCAATACTGGTAGATTTATAATGACGGCGTGACGTAAAATTGTCAAAGTTTCTATCGCCTCGACCATTTAATAGTTTTTAAATTAAATTGTTAGGTGTACAATTATATAATAGTGATAACAAGCGTCTGATATTATGTTCTCAAAATTTTTAAAAAATGATCTAATCACGTGCCTTTAGTCGCAACATTTGTAATTCATCTTTTAAATACATCTTGTAATTCGGACAAAAATAATTACCACTCCTGTAACCTTAACAATTTTTCTAAATGCTCACGATGGATCAGACAATAAACTCGCTCTAGGTAATATCTGAACCTAATCTTTATATATATGGAAAAAGTTAAACAATACAATTAAACACAATGAGGAATTCTTTTGGAAGGTTGGAAGATCAAGTACATAAAAGTATTTTTTCCGATGGCTTAAAATTTAAACGTTACATGATTTACCAAGTGCATTTGTTTTTTTACTTTTATTCAAGAACTTTATCATTTTTACAAAAATTAAAAAAAAAAAAAAAAATGCAAGATTCCAATGAGTGGATTAGTTCTATTGAAGATTATATTGTAAGAAATAATATCAAATGTTTCGAATACGAACGTTTTAGCTATGTTCAAAAAATCGGTTCTGGCGGCTTTGGAAATGTCTATCGTGCAAATTGTAAAAATTTAAAACAAACTCTAGCGTTAAAATCCTTTAATAACCTTAACAATGCCACTGTCATAGAAGTAATTCGTGAGGTAATTACAAATTATAATATTTGTTTCGTATTAAATCATATATATATCAAACAACTATCAATTTTTTAGATCGAACTTCAACGTGAAGTCGATTTTCATGATAATATTATTCGTTTTTATGGAGTGTCTTCAAAACAAGGTAAACAAAATTTATAATAAATTTTATCAAAGATACATTATATGTTGATACATTTATTTTTATTTTTATCATTGATTCATTTATATATTTTTAAAAAATTAGAAAAACAAAATGATCAATCGAAAGAGTATTTGTTAGTTATGGAATATGCAGATGGAGGTACACTTAGAAACTATTTGAAGGATAATTTTGATAAGCTTACTTGGGATGATAAATACAACTTTGCATTTCAGTTGGCTAATGCTGTGTCGTGTCTACATGAAGAAGGAATAATACATTGTGATTTGGTAATGTTATATAATTTATGTACATCTTATTTTTTTTTTATTATTATTGCTAACTAATAATTTAATAAATAATTTTATATATATAATAGCATTCTGACAATATTTTAATTCATCAAGGTATAATTAAACTTGCTGATTTTGGATCATCGAAAAGAGTTGATGCGACAACTAAACCACAGTCAAAAGTCTATGGTGTAATGCCTTATGTTGATCCAAAAAGGTATAATAGACAAAAAAGTAGTGTCAGTACATCTCAGCAAGATGATTTAAATGAGAAGAGTGACGTTTACAGTGTTGGCGTGTTGTTATGGGAGATATCGAGTGGACGTCCTCCTTTTTGTGTTGAAGAACAACCTTACAACTCATTAGCTATAAACATTTCACTAGGTTATAGAGAAACTATTGTTCCGGGTACACCTGAAGATTATGTAAAAATTTATACTGGTATATATAATATTTTATTTTTAAGCATATGGAAAACCATATGATTTCGATCATTAATCATTTTTATATGATTTTAGAATGCTGGGATAATGAGCCAAACAATCGCCCATCTATGAAAAAAGTAATCGAAGAATTAAATGCAATTATTACAAAAACAAATATAATAATAGAAAATGATCAAATGAAAAATGATGAATCAAACCTTCAATTGACAGCATATTCATCACATGGAGAATTATACAAAATTATTAATAATTTTGATCAAATGAACGTAGAAGAATTAGAATCGAATAATGAAATTTCAGTCATCAATTACGATGTCGATAGTTTAACAATTACTGACTCTAATAAGGATGACATATTAAAAGCATTAGGAGGGTTGCAAAGATATCAAAAATTACAAGTGCTTCACTGTGATAGTACTCAAATAACCGGCTTACCAACTTTACCCAATACTTTAAAAATACTCTGGTGTCAAAACGCGAAGATAACAAGCTTACCAATTTTACCTAACCTCTTAAAAATACTTAATTGTCATCAAACTCAAATAAATCGATTACCAACTTTACCATACTCTTTATCAGTACTTGTATGCTCCGAGACTAAATTAAATAGCTTGCCAACTTTACCCAACTTAACAGAGCTTTATTGTCATGATACACAAATAGCCAGCTTACCAACATTACCCAACTCCTTAAGAATACTATATTGCCATTCTACTCCAATAAATATTTTACCAACTTTACCAAACTCATTAGAAATACTCAATTGTCATTCTACTCAATTAACTAGCTTACCATCTTTACCATACTTCTTAACTGAACTCCATTGCTCTAATACTCAAATTAATAGCTTACCAACATTACCCAATTCCTTAAATAAACTTTATTGCTATGAAACTCAAATACTTAGTTTACCAACTTTACCATACTCCTTAACTGAACTCCATTGCTCTAATACTCAAATAACCAACTTACCACCTTTACCTAACATCTTAACAAAGCTATATTGCAATGAAACTCAAGTAAATAGATTACCAACTCTACCAAACTCCTTAACGGAACTCTACTGTAATCATACTCAAATATCTATTCTATCAACTTTACCAAACTCCTTAAAAAAACTCCATTGTGGTAATACTCCAATAACCTACTTACCAACTTTACCAAACTCCTTAACGGAACTCCATTGCAACAATACTCAATTAACTATCCTACCAACTTTACCAGTCTCCTTAACAGAACTATATTGCTATGAAACTCAAATCTCTATACTACCAACTTTACCCAATTCCTTAATAAATCTCTGGTGTTTTGATACACAAATCAGTAGATTACCAAATTTACCCGATTCTTTAATTGATATCAAACCTATTTCTTTATATAACGTTAAATATTAAATATTTTCATCTCTTTCATCCTTTAAATTATTTTGCGGCAACAATTTATATGTATCTGATGTTTTGTTTCAAATATGAAATGTAAATTTTGGTTTGATTTCAAATAACCAATATTATTATAAGATTCTTTTCCTTATTTTAATACAAAGTATTACTCTTTTCCTCCTAATATATTTCCTCCATATTTGGTAATTTTGGATAGAATTTTTACGGGCGCGGTAAAATGAATTATGTTTGTTGGTAGGTTTTACGATTTGATGTAAATAGAAATACTAGCTATAACATTACAACTGTTCGAATTAAGGCCACACAAATTAGCATTTTCGGTTCACGTAACATTAAAATTTTAAAATTGACCCGGTTGTTTATTAATAAAAAAATTTTATATTTAATCGTAACGATGTGATTGGTTGATTTTAAGGAGTAATTAATTATAATCGGATGGTGAGTTGATTATTATGAATGTTCAGTTGGAAGTAAAAAAAAGAGAAGAAACTTATAAAAAAAAAAATTAAATAAACCTAGAAATGACTGTTAATACCCTAAAATTCGTATAGTTACATTGGATATAATTCCACCCGAAAAAATCATAATTTTCGCCTTGGTTAGTCAATTGAATTGTTAGGATGCCAAATTGTCCTAATTAAAATTTTAATATATTTCCTTGTGATATTCATAACCCATAACGTAACACCTCAAAAACTGGTTTCGAAAGTAAGTACTTAAAGATTTTCGTATTTACATATCCAGACCTCCCTACAGATGATTGATCTATATGCATATTTATGTAGTTTATAAGTTCGTTATAAGCAAACCATTACTTTTATTAGAACAAATCTGTAGAAAAATGCTATATAAAATGTCAACCGAAGAGAAGGCCATGTTCAAATTTGGATCTGATTTGGCGGAAATAACGACTTATCAGTGTGTGATTATGATCTTGATAAGGGAGTGGATGAACACAATAATCAAGCTACGGTAGTAAACATTTAAGTATGATAACAAGAAAGCAATCGTTCCTAAATATTTGATAGCTGATATAGAAATCTTTGCCTTGAACCCAATAAAATAATATTTATCGGATCACTTCTCATTGTAATTGTTTTATATAATCAACTAATCTATCGTATATTTGATTATTTTGTAACTACAATTATAAAGACTCTAATATGACAAATTCTTTGATTTAATGAGTATTCTTACAATGCCATATATCAAATGTACCGCATAATACCTTAAATTTGGCA